CCATTCGCGCATGTAGATCAACAGCGTTGCTGAGTGATGTCGCATTGGCCGATCGCTGCGTCGTGCGAAGCCAGTAGAGTCCGTCTACAAGATCCGCAGCTGCCACCACTTGATTGGAATCCTTGCGAGCGACGTACATCGTATCCCCGTCAAACACCACTTGGAAGTTGCCGTGCTTGTTAATCTGCGGCACCGAGAGCAGATTTTTGCTCATGCTGGGCACATAGAGCGCGTTCTTGATCTCGATCTCGCGCTCTTCCCCGTTTGGCAGAATCACCTTTTCCACGATGGTCCCCACACCTTTGATGGCCGCCTTGTTGCCATCAGCCACCAGGATCTCGCCATCATTGCCTTCGACCAAGCTTGCAAACTTGAACTTGTCGTGGCAGATGTGATGTGTTGCCCCGCTGTCAACGGCCCACATTCCTGGTCCATTCTTGTTCGTCGAAACTCCGCATTCGAACGAAACTGCAAACGCCACTCGATCGTAGCTGTTGCCTTCATCATAATGTCGCCACTGGACATTGTTTGCCCCGCGTCGACGACCATTGCCGCCGCGTTGGGCTCCTCGACTTTCATCCTTTTTGCTTCGTCCAGCAACGCTCTGCCGTGTGCCCCACCTTGCCGCAGTATGTGCATTGGTAGGGCTTGCGCTCGGTACTGAATGCCTTTGTCGCATCTTCAGTCTTCACCGTTGTCGTTGCCGTTGTCATCTTCTCGCCTTGTCGCTTGATGTGCTCGTTAGTCAGCACCTTGACCACATCTTGCGTGCGCAGCTCTGCATTGCTCATCTCCAAGTTGAGAACCACGTTCTCGAAACTCTTGGGCAGACTGCGCAGTAAGCAGATCGCAATGTCTTCGTCTTCCATCTTGGCACCGATGCTGCTGAGCTTGGCGCCGATGTTCAAGACTTCGTTGCAATGGTGCAAGACGTTGGCACCTTCCGCCATCTTGATGCTGAACAGCTGGCGCTTGAGGTAGATGCGTCCCGCCTTCTGCGACCCACCATAGAGCATCTTCAACCGCGACCACGCTGTCCATGCTTCTTCACAGTTGTCGACCACATGGTGGTAGTCGGCGTCCATGTGGAGCAACATCAACCCGAACGCGATGTTGCTCGCCTTGACGTACTCGTCGGAAGCTCGCGTGTCGGTGAAGGTTGGAGACGTTTCGCGGTTCACGACGTACCAGACTGACTTCGTCAGAAACACGCCGCGCATGTAGCGACACCAGGTTGAGTAGTTGTCCCCATCGAACTTATCGATGGAGACACTGGCCGAGGTGTTGTTGGACGACATGGCGCTTGGGCTCATAACCTGTTGTAACTTGAGCGCGAGGCGAAGAGAAAACGAAGCGGAGAGACCGGAGAGAACGAAGCAGAGAACACTTGCTCACTTGAGGGAGGATTCGAAAGTGATTGATTTATAGGTCTTAACTTCTGCCTACCCTAGACTGCATCCAATCACATGGTGCATCTAATCAACCTGATTTACACGCGTCCAATCATCCTACGCGTCTAATCATCTCTGAGGTAATTACCGATGTAAAAACTATCTCGTAAGAACTACGCGCTAGGTTCGGATTGTACCGGTAACCCTCAATAAGATGACATAGATGAGCGGTATGCAGCACCTGCCAAGTCAGCTGAAGCTTATTATTATCACAATGAATAAATATCAGTTGACGATAAAAAACAAGATTTTCTTGGACACATAATAGCACAGATTATACGATGCGTCTGCACACATTTAAGCTAGCTAAAATTTGTTATTCGGAGCTTGTGCATGATACAAATTACACATCTTAGTCTACGCGTGGCCCGCTTGGCATATGTCACGACCGGCAGTATTAAAGTTGTTTAAAAACACAATGAGTAACTATAACACTACAGAAGTTAGTGAGTCGTGCTGAGCTGATCGCGACAAGCCTGATGATACAACCATATCCTTTGCGAGAAAACGGACGCATCAACTCGTCGAGTCGAGCGATGGCAAACGTCTAGATATTTTACAACTAGTTTAAATGCCATTACTAAATTTTAATGTGTATGTAAAGGAAAAAAATGCCGTATTCAAACACGACAAGAAGAATGTCCCAGATGGGTAAATAAAAAATGCAGATAATTTTAAAATTAAAAACGCGTCACATCCTCGTATACTCGAAATAACGTGGTGTACATAAAAGTTCATCTTTAATGCCATTTCAATATTTCTTGAATTGACGTGCTCAGCCCTCGCCCTGCAGGTGCAGACGGTACAGGGATGATGCAAACGTGTTTTTGTATCGTCGGCCGCAGCTGTCAATGTAGACAATAGGCGTTCGTGCTGTCGTAATTGATAGTATCGTTTTGTGATCTGTATTGCCGCTATTGGTTTTCAATGTCAATTGTTTATTATTGTTATTTCTGATAGTTGCCGCTAATATTGCTATCGTCATTGTTTCTGTTGTTGTTGCTGCTGCTACCGCTGTGGCTGTAGCCATTGTCGTTATTGTCGTAAGTGATGCATGTCATTCCTGTTACTTTAAAGCTGCTGCCGCTAAAGTCATCGTTTTTGCTGCTGACGCCGCTGTTATTGCAACTGCTGCTAGTGTTCTTGGTGTTGTTTAGGTTCTGTGGTTTAGTTAGTACTACTGCAGTGTATCTTTTTCAAATGCTAAGTCGTGAGATACGAACACGTTCACAGCTCGTATGCTATATTTACTTAAGCTGATTAAATATTTATTCGACCATCGTGAATGCATTCTACCTGTTTGACTCTTATTTTAGAGTAGTGTCAATGCGCTCCACTTTAAACTAAATACATGTTGTAACTTGAGCGCGAGGCGAAGAGAAAACGAAGCGGAGAGACCGGAGAGAACGAAGCAGAGAACACTTGCTCACTTGAGGGAGGATTCGAAAGTGATTGATTTATAGGTCTTAACTTCTGCCTACCCTAGACTGCATCCAATCACATGGTGCATCTAATCAACCTGATTTACACGCGTCCAATCATCCTACGCGTCTAATCATCTCTGAGGTAATTACCGATGTAAAAACTATCTCGTAAGAACTACGCGCTAGGTTCGGATTGTACCGGTAACCCTCAATAAGATGACATAGATGAGCGGTATGCAGCACCTGCCAAGTCAGCTGAAGCTTATTATTATCACAATGAATAAATATCAGTTGACGATAAAAAACAAGATTTTCTTGGACACATAATAGCACAGATTATACGATGCGTCTGCACACATTTAAGCTAGCTAAAATTTGTTATTCGGAGCTTGTGCATGATACAAATTACACATCTTAGTCTACGCGTGGCCCGCTTGGCATATGTCACGACCGGCAGTATTAAAGTTGTTTAAAAACACAATGAGTAACTATAACACTACAGAAGTTAGTGAGTCGTGCTGAGCTGATCGCGACAAGCCTGATGATACAACCATATCCTTTGCGAGAAAACGGACGCATCAACTCGTCGAGTCGAGCGATGGCAAACGTCTAGATATTTTACAACTAGTTTAAATGCCATTACTAAATTTTAATGTGTATGTAAAGGAAAAAAATGCCGTATTCAAACACGACAAGAAGAATGTCCCAGATGGGTAAATAAAAAATGCAGATAATTTTAAAATTAAAAACGCGTCACATCCTCGTATACTCGAAATAACGTGGTGTACATAAAAGTTCATCTTTAATGCCATTTCAATATTTCTTGAATTGACGTGCTCAGCCCTCGCCCTGCAGGTGCAGACGGTACAGGGATGATGCAAACGTGTTTTTGTATCGTCGGCCGCAGCTGTCAATGTAGACAATAGGCGTTCGTGCTGTCGTAATTGATAGTATCGTTTTGTGATCTGTATTGCCGCTATTGGTTTTCAATGTCAATTGTTTATTATTGTTATTTCTGATAGTTGCCGCTAATATTGCTATCGTCATTGTTTCTGTTGTTGTTGCTGCTGCTACCGCTGTGGCTGTAGCCATTGTCGTTATTGTCGTAAGTGATGCATGTCATTCCTGTTACTTTAAAGCTGCTGCCGCTAAAGTCATCGTTTTTGCTGCTGACGCCGCTGTTATTGCAACTGCTGCTAGTGTTCTTGGTGTTGTTTAGGTTCTGTGGTTTAGTTAGTACTACTGCAGTGTATCTTTTTCAAATGCTAAGTCGTGAGATACGAACACGTTCACAGCTCGTATGCTATATTTACTTAAGCTGATTAAATATTTATTCGACCATCGTGAATGCATTCTACCTGTTTGACTCTTATTTTAGAGTAGTGTCAATGCGCTCCACTTTAAACTAAATACATGTTGTAACTTGAGCGCGAGGCGAAGAGAAAACGAAGCGGAGAGACCGGAGAGAACGAAGCAGAGAACACTTGCTCACTTGAGGGGAGGATTCGAAAGTGATTGATTTATAGGTCTTAACTTCTGCCTACCCTAGACTGCATCCAATCACATGGTGCATCTAATCAACCTGATTTACACGCGTCCAATCATCCTACGCGTCTAATCATCTCTGAGGTAATTACCGATGTAAAAACTATCTCGTAAGAACTACGCGCTAGGTTCGGATTGTACCGGTAACCCTCAATACGCCCCCTCAATCCGAACACGCACGGATGCCAAGCGCCGCCGTCAAGTCCTTGTGACGCGGTCCGTGAAGTCCCTTCGTCATGATGTCCGCCAACATCAACGTCGTCTCGCAGTATTCAAGCTTCACTTCGCCGCGCTTGACTTCATCACGGATGTGATGGTACTTGATGTCGATGTGTTTAGCGCGGCCGTGGTTGACCGGATTCTTCGTCATCTTGATGCACGACTGGTTGTCTTCACGGATGACGAGCTCGGGTCCTTCTTCGTTTGCAGCCGCCATGATCTCGCACAGCAAGCGATTGATCCACTTGCCTTCTTGGATCGCCAGGCTGAGCGCGATGTACTCCGCTTCGCTTGTAGACAGTGACACACTTGGCTGTTTCTTGCTGCCCCAACTCACCGGAGCACCCAATAGCATGAAGACTTAGCCGGACGTCGATTTGCGATCAGCAAGGTCACCGGCCCAGTCTGCATCTGAATAGCCACGAAAGTCGATCTTCGCACTTGGCTTGTAGCAGATTCCATGCATCTTGGTGCCTTGTAGGTAGCGGAAGATGCGCTTGACTGCAACCCAGTGTTCTTCTTGGGGTTTCTCCATGAACCGTGACACAAAGCTTACAGCATAGGCGATGTCCGGTCGCGTTGCAGTCGTCAGATGCATCAAAGCACCCACTGCTTCACGGAATGGGACATTCACCTTGCTTGCAGAGTTGCTTGGAACCAGTCGAGAGCTGACGTCCACCGGACTTGCCACAGCCTTGCACTCATCCATTCCAAAGCGCTTGAGGACATCGTCGACATAACGGCGCTGACACATAGTCACGCTGCCATCTTCACCGTCCAATAACTCGATCCCAAGAACAAAGGCACACTTGCCGCTGTCCGTCATCTCGAAGCGTGTCTTGAGGTCGTTCTTGGTGCGCGCAATCATCTCGAGCGAGCTTCCAGTCACCAAGACATCGTCCACGTAGACCAGCACAAAAACACAATGGCCTTCCGAAGTCATGATGTAGAGACATGGATCGAATCCCGACGCTTGAAAACCAATCGAGCGTATGAACTCGTCGAAGGTCTCGTTCCAAACACGCGAGGCTTGCTTGAGACCGTAGATCGCCTTGATCAGCTCGGAGACAGTCGAAATCACCTTCCATCTTGACGCCTTCCGGAACAGCGCAAAACACCTTCTCCTTCATCACTCCATACAGGAACGCAGTCACCACATCGAGCTGGTCGAGGGGCCATCCAAAGTGCTTGGTAATGGCGATGACCATTCGCAGCGTCACATACTTGACCACGGGCGAGAACGTCTCCGTGTAGTCGATGCCATACTTTTGGCGAAAACCCTTGGCCACAAGTCGTGCCTTGTATTTCTCGATCGACCCATCCGCCTTGCGCTTGATCTTGAAGACCCACTTTGTGCCAATGGCGCTTTGTCCGTTGGGTAACTTGGCCGCACGAAAGACACCGCGAAGCTTCATCGAATCGAGCTCCGCATCAATTGCCTTGCGCCAGTGTACTTGGTCCGGGCCAGACACTGCTTCTTCAAATGTCGACGGCTCCGAAAAATCGACCGCTGCTTCGACGGCGTTTGCACTCGCATGCCAAAACGCGGAGGAAGTCGGTGTGTCATGTTGTTCCTCCGACTTCCTTTCTTCATCTTCGTTGGCTCGACGTGAAGAGAGGTCATCCGGCGCACTTGACTCTTCCAATCCGGGTCGTTGGCGCACTGCTCGGGGCATGCTTGCGTCGTCATTGTCGTGACTGGGTTGGGCCTTGCGCTTTCCTGTTTGTTTGAAGTGTCTCGGGACGCGGTTCTTCATCATCAAGATCGATCGATTCAAAGTCCAGGCCATCAACATCGTCATCGGAAATCAGCATCGACATTCCAAAGGCCGACTCATCGAAGTTGACATCGCGACTTATCATCACCTGCCCCGCTTCGATGTCGTAAACTCGATACGCCTTGGACACTTCTTCGTAGCCCAAAAACAATCCAGCCCGGGCCTTGGGATCCCACTTGAGTCGTTTCTCCTTCGGGGTCAAGATGTATGCTTGGCACCCAAAAACGCGCATGTGCTTGACACTTGGCTTAGAATTGTAGACAATCTCGAACGGTGTCTTGTGTGGAATCTTGGGTGACGGCAAACGGTTCTTCACATAGACGGCCGTCATTGCCGCTTCAGCCCAGAAGCACTTGTCCAACTTGGCATGATGGAGCATGCTACGACCGATGGTGACGATAGTTCGAATCGCGCGTTCAGCAGTTCCATTGGCTTGATGTGCGTATGGCACCGTGGTTTGTTGCTCGATGCCTTCGACTTCGTAGAAATCTTGAAGCGAGTTCGTCGCAAATTCGCGGGCTCCATCGTGTCGCACAAATTTGACCTTCTTGTTGAACTGCGTCTGTATCATCGTGATGTACTTCTTGATGCACTCTTCGCTCTCTGACTTGGAATGCAGACAAAAACCCTTCATGCATCCGCTGGCTTCATCCACGATCAGCAGCAGATACTTGCTGCCACCCAGAGATTTTTCTTCCATGGGTCCGCAGATGTCGAAGTGGAGCATCTCGAAGGTGTTGTAGGTGCGCTTGTCACGGTTGCTCGGGAATGGTTTTTGGACCATCTTCCCTTCTTGGCATCCTCGACACACACTTGATCCATTCGGCTTGGAAGGGATGTGAGCGTCCTTGATCATGTGGCTTGTCACCATCCTGCGAAGCACGTCTACTGGAGCATGGCCCATTCGCGCATGTAGATCAACAGCGTTGCTGAGTGATGTCGCATTGGCCGATCGCTGCGTCGTGCGAAGCCAGTAGAGTCCGTCTACAAGATCCGCAGCTGCCACCACTTGATTGGAATCCTTGCGAGCGACGTACATCGTATCCCCGTCAAACACCACTTGGAAGTTGCCGTGCTTGTTAATCTGCGGCACCGAGAGCAGATTTTTTGCTCATGCTGGGGCACATAGAGCGCGTTCTTGATCTCGATCTCGCGCTCTTCCCCGTTTGGCAGAATCACCTTTTCCACGATGGTCCCCACACCTTTGATGGCCGCCTTGTTGCCATCAGCCACCAGGATCTCGCCATCATTGCCTTCGACCAAGCTTGCAAACTTGAACTTGTCGTGGCAGATGTGATGTGTTGCCCCGCTGTCAACGGCCCACATTCCTGGTCCATTCTTGTTCGTCGAAACTCCGCATTCGAACGAAACTGCAAACGCCACTCGATCGTAGCTGTTGCCTTCATCATAATGTCGCCAGTGGACATTGTTTGACCCGCGTCGACGACCATTGCCGCCGCGTTGGGCTCCTCGACTTTCATCCTTTGCTTCGTCCAGCAACGCTCTGCCGTGTGCCCCACCTTGCCGCAGTATGTGCATTGGTAGGGCTTGCGCTCGGTACTGAATGCCTTTGTCGCATCTTCAGTCTTCACCGTTGTCGTTGCCGTTGTCATCTTCTCGCCTTGTCGCTTGATGTGCTCGTTAGTCAGCACCTTGACCACATCTTGCGTGCGCAGCTCTGCATTGCTCATCTCCAAGTTGAGAACCACGTTCTCGAAACTATTGGGCAGACTGCGCAGTAAGCAGATCGCAATGTCTTCGTCTTCCATCTTGGCACCGATGCTGCTGAGCTTGGCGCCGATGTTCAAGACTTCGTTGCAATGGTGCAAGACGTTGGCACCTTCCGCCATCTTGATGCTGAACAGCTGGCGCTTGAGGTAGATGCGTCCCGCCTTCTGCGACCCACCATAGAGCATCTTCAACCGCGACCACGCTGTCCATGCTTCTTCACAGTTGTCGACCACATGGTGGTAGTCGGCGTCCATGTGGAGCAACATCAACCCGAACGCGATGTTGCTCGCCTTGACGTACTCGTCGGAAGCTCGCGTGTCGGTGAAGGTTGGAGACGTTTCGCGGTTCACGACGTACCAGACTGACTTCGTCAGAAACACGCCGCGCATGTAGCGACACCAGGTTGAGTAGTTGTCCCCATCGAACTTATCGATGGAGACACTGGCCGAGGTGTTGTTGGACGACATGGCGCTTGGGCTCATAACCTGTTGTAACTTGAGCGCGAGGCGAAGAGAAAACGAAGCGGAGAGACCGGAGAGAACGAAGCAGAGAACACTTGCTCACTTGAGGGAGGATTCGAAAGTGATTGATTTATAGGTCTTAACTTCTGCCTACCCTAGACTGCATCCAATCACATGGTGCATCTAATCAACCTGATTTACACGCGTCCAATCATCCTACGCGTCTAATCATCTCTGAGGTATTACCGATGTAAAAACTATCTCGTAAGAACTACGCGCTAGGTTCGGATTGTACCGGTAACCCTCAATAAGATGACATAGATGAGCGGTATGCAGCACCTGCCAAGTCAGCTGAAGCTTATTATTATCACAATGAATAAATATCAGTTGACGATAAAAAACAAGATTTTCTTGGACACATAATAGCACAGATTATACGATGCGTCTGCACACATTTAAGCTAGCTAAAATTTGTTATTCGGAGCTTGTGCATGATACAAATTACACATCTTAGTCTACGCGTGGCCCGCTTGGCATATGTCACGACCGGCAGTATTAAAGTTGTTTAAAAACACAATGAGTAACTATAACACTACAGAAGTTAGTGAGTCGTGCTGAGCTGATCGCGACAAGCCTGATGATACAACCATATCCTTTGCGAGAAAACGGACGCATCAACTCGTCGAGTCGAGCGATGGAAAACGTCTAGATATTTTACAACTAGTTTAAATGCCATTACTAAATTTTAATGTGTATGTAAAGGAAAAAAATGCCGTATTCAAACACGACAAGAAGAATGTCCCAGATGGGTAAATAAAAAATGCAGATAATTTTAAAATTAAAAACGCGTCACATCCTCGTATACTCGAAATAACGTGGTGTACATAAAAGTTCATCTTTAATGCCATTTCAATATTTCTTGAATTGACGTGCTCAGCCCTCGCCCTGCAGGTGCAGACGGTACAGGGATGATGCAAACGTGTTTTTGTATCGTCGGCCGCAGCTGTCAATGTAGACAATAGGCGTTCGTGCTGTCGTAATTGATAGTATCGTTTTGTGATCTGTATTGCCGCTATTGGTTTTCAATGTCAATTGTTTATTATTGTTATTTCTGATAGTTGCCGCTAATATTGCTATCGTCATTGTTTCTGTTGTTGTTGCTGCTGCTACCGCTGTGGCTGTAGCCATTGTCGTTATTGTCGTAAGTGATGCATGTCATTCCTGTTACTTTAAAGCTGCTGCCGCTAAAGTCATCGTTTTTGCTGCTGACGCCGCTGTTATTGCAACTGCTGCTAGTGTTCTTGGTGTTGTTTAGGTTCTGTGGTTTAGTTAGTACTACTGCAGTGTATCTTTTTCAAATGCTAAGTCGTGAGATGCGAACACGTTCACAGCTCGTATGCTATATTTACTTAAGCTGATTAAATATTTATTCGACCATCGTGAATGCATTCTACCTGTTTGACTCTTATTTTAGAGTAGTGTCAATGCGCTCCACTTTAAACTAAATACATGTTGTAACTTGAGCGCGAGGCGAAGAGAAAACGAAGCGGAGAGACCGGAGAGAACGAAGCAGAGAACACTTGCTCACTTGAGGGAGGATTCGAAAGTGATTGATTTATAGGTCTTAACTTCTGCCTACCCTAGACTGCATCCAATCACATGGTGCATCTAATCAACCTGATTTACACGCGTCCAATCATCCTACGCGTCTAATCATCTCTGAGGTAATTACCGATGTAAAAACTATCTCGTAAGAACTACGCGCTAGGTTCGGATTGTACCGGTAACCCTCAATACGCCCCCTCAATCCGAACACGCACGGATGCCAAGCGCCGCCGTCAAGTCCTTGTGACGCGGTCCGTGAAGTCCCTTCGTCATGATGTCCGCCAACATCAACGTCGTCTCGCAGTATTCAAGCTTCACTTCGCCGCGCTTGACTTCATCACGGATGTGATGGTACTTGATGTCGATGTGTTTAGCGCGGCCGTGGTTGACCGGATTCTTCGTCATCTTGATGCACGACTGGTTGTCTTCACGGATGACGAGCTCGGGTCCTTCTTCGTTTGCAGCCGCCATGATCTCGCACAGCAAGCGATTGATCCACTTGCCTTCTTGGATCGCCAGGCTGAGCGCGATGTACTCCGCTTCGCTTGTAGACAGTGACACACTTGGCTGTTTCTTGCTGCCCCAACTCACCGGAGCACCCAATAGCATGAAGACGTAGCCGGACGTCGATTTGCGATCAGCAAGGTCACCGGCCCAGTCTGCATCTGAATAGCCACGAAAGTCGATCTTCGCACTTGGCTTGTAGCAGATTCCATGCATCTTGGTGCCTTGTAGGTAGCGGAAGATGCGCTTGACTGCAACCCAGTGTTCTTCTTGGGGTTTCTCCATGAACCGTGACACAAAGCTTACAGCATAGGCGATTTCCGGTCGCGTTGCAGTCGTCAGATGCATCAAAGCACCCACTGCTTCACGGAATGGGACATTCACCTTGCTTGCAGAGTTGCTTGGAACCAGTCGAGAGCTGACGTCCACCGGACTTGCCACAGCCTTGCACTCATCCATTCCAAAGCGCTTGAGGACATCGTCGACATAACGGCGCTGACACATAGTCACGCTGCCATCTTCACCGTCCAATAACTCGATCCCAAGAACAAAGGCACACTTGCCGCTGTCCGTCATCTCGAAGCGTGTCTTGAGGTCGTTCTTGGTGCGCGCAATCATCTCGAGCGAGCTTCCAGTCACCAAGACATCGTCCACGTAGACCAGCACAAAAACACAATGGCCTTCCGAAGTCATGATGTAGAGACATGGATCGAATCCCGACGCTTGAAAACCAATCGAGCGTATGAACTCGTCGAAGGTCTCGTTCCAAACACGCGAGGCTTGCTTGAGACCGTAGATCGCCTTGATCAGCTCGAGACAGTCGAAATCACCTTCCATCTTGACGCCTTCCGGAACAGCGCAGAACACCTTCTCCTTCATCACTCCATACAGGAACGCAGTCACCACATCGAGCTGGTCGAGGGGCCATCCAAAGTGCTTGGTAATGGCGATGACCATTCGCAGCGTCACATACTTGACCACGGGCGAGAACGTCTCCGTGTAGTCAATGCCATACTTTTGGCGAAAACCCTTGGCCACAAGTCGTGCCTTGTATTTCTCGATCGACCCATCCGCCTTGCGCTTGATCTTGAAGACCCACTTTGTGCCAATGGCGCTTTGTCCGTTGGGTAACTTGGCCGCACGAAAGACACCGCGAAGCTTCATCGAATCGAGCTCCGCATCAATTGCCTTGCGCCAGTGTACTTGGTCCGGGCCAGATACTGCTTCTTCAAATGTCGACGGCTCCGAAAAATCGACCGCTGCTTCGACGGCGTTTGCACTCGCATGCCAAAACGCGGAGGAAGTCGGTGTGTCATGTTGTTCCTCCGACTTCCTTTCTTCATCTTCGTTGGCTCGACGTGAAGAGAGGTCATCCGGCGCACTTGACTCTTCCAATCCGGGTCGTTGGCGCACTGCTCGGGGCATGCTTGCGTCGTCATTGTCGTGACTGGGTTGGGCCTTGCGCTTTCCTGTTTGTTTGAAGTGTCTCGGACGCGGTTCTTCATCATCAAGATCGATCGATTCGAAGTCCAGGCCATCAACATCGTCATCGGAAATCAGCATCGACATTCCAAAGGCCGACTCATCGAAGTTGACATCGCGACTTATCATCACCTGCCCCGCTTCGATGTCGTAAACTCGATACGCCTTGGACACTTCTTCGTAGCCCAAAAACAATCCAGCCCGGGCCTTGGGATCCCACTTGAGTCGTTTCTCCTTCGGGGTCAAGATGTATGCTTGGCACCCAAAAACGCGCATGTGCTTGACACTTGGCTTAGAATTGTAGACAATCTCGAACGGTGTCTTGTGTGGAATCTTGGGTGACGGCAAACGGTTCTTCACATAGACGGCCGTCATTGCCGCTTCAGCCCAGAAGCACTTGTCCAACTTGGCATGATGGAGCATGCTACGACCGATGGTGACGATAGTTCGAATCGCGCGTTCAGCAGTTCCATTGGCTTGATGTGCGTATGGCACCGTGGTTTGTTGCTCGATGCCTTCGACTTCGTAGAAATCTTGAAGCGAGTTCGTCGCAAATTCGCGGGCTCCATCGTGTCGCACAAATTTGACCTTCTTGTTGAACTGCGTCTGTATCATCGTGATGTACTTCTTGATGCACTCTTCGCTCTCTGACTTGGAATGCAGACAAAAACCCTTCATGCATCCGCTGGCTTCATCCACGATCAGCAGCAGATACTTGCTGCCACCCAGAGATTTTTCTTCCATGGGTCCGCAGATGTCGAAGTGGAGCATCTCGAAGGTGTTGTAGGTGCGCTTGTCACTGTTGCTCGGGAATGGTTTTTGGACCATCTTCCCTTCTTGGCATCCTCGACACACACTTGATCCATTCGGCTTGGAAGGGATGTGAGCGTCCTTGATCATGTGGCTTGTCACCATCCTGCGAAGCACGTCTACTGGAGCATGGCCCATTCGCGCATGTAGATCAACAGCGTTGCTGAGTGATGTCGCATTGGCCGATCGCTGCGTCGTGCGAAGCCAGTAGAGTCCGTCTACAAGATCCGCAGCTGCCACCACTTGATTGGAATCCTTGCGAGCGACGTACATCGTATCCCCGTCAAACACCACTTGGAAGTTGCCGTGCTTGTTAATCTGCGGCACCGAGAGCAGATTTTTGCTCATGCTGGGCACATAGAGCGCGTTCTTGATCTCGATCTCGCGCTCTTCCCCGTTTGGCAGAATCACCTTTTCCACGATGGTCCCCACACCTTTGATGGCCGCCTTGTTGCCATCAGCCACCAGGATCTCGCCATCATTGCCTTCGACCAAGCTTGCAAACTTGAACTTGTCGTGGCAGATGTGATGTGTTGCCCCGCTGTCAACGGCCCACATTCCTGGTCCATTCTTGTTCGTCGAAACTCCGCATTCGAACGAAACTG